AGTGTTCTTTAGTCTGAAATTAGGGTCTTATTACCTTCTTGTTATTAACATTTTAACATTTCAATTGTAAAATAATGACAGTGAAATAGATAGTAAATGATCTCTTTCCATTTGTGTGTGTGTTGTTGGGGGGAGGTTCTGGGGGCCAAGCCTAGGACTTTGTGCATACTAGGAAAGTGTCCTATTACTGAACTATATTTCTGCCCTGTATTTTTTTTTTTTATTGTCTTTACCTAACCTGTTAAGAAGTTGGCTATTTTATCTTAATTATAGACTTTTTAAAAAAAAATTGTTGTTTGAAACATATGATAGACTACACAAGGAATCACTATTCTATTTTCAAACTCAAAATTTTCAGAATCTTCTACATTTCCACACCTCTTTATAATTTGTTAAACATTTTCACATTAATTATATCACTTGGAGCTCTATGATCTGTGAAACAATCTCGTGTTCCACAGATTTGAAAAAATACAGGGTTTAAGGTGATTAGGCAACTTCACCAAGATTATATGGTTTGTTTAAGAGCCAGATTCCACCTCATGTTTTTTTACTTTGAATCCTACCTACTTTCCATCTAAAAGTGGTTCATGAATTGGACCTTACAATAGAATCATAGTGGTTTTTTGTTTGTTTGTTTTTTGGTGGTGTTGGGGATTGAATCCAGGATCTTGTACATGCATGACAAGTACTCTAACAACTGAGGCATATCCCCAGCCCCTACTATAAGTGTTTTAATATACACAGAACTAATAAGTTTGAATGTATGGAGAATGGGGTCTAAGAGTTTTGTCTTTTAAGAACTCTCTGGGTGATTCTGCTCTATAGGCAAATTTGGGTACCATTATCAAATGGTACTTTCCTCTGTCTACCTGGGCTCACAAGAAAGAAGAGGGGTTTAGAGATAGACAGAATTGGATATCCCTGAGCAAGTCACATGATCACCTGAGCCTCAATTTCTGCATCTGTGAAATAAGGACTGTGATATCTAACATGTAGATTATAAATATTTTGAAAAATAATATGTAGTACCTAAATCTGTTAGTCACTCAAAAAACGAAGCTATCATCATTACTACTGCTACTATGGAAATACTACCTAGAATGATGCCCTATTATTACTAAGAAATAGGTACAAATTATAAATAGCAATGATTCTAGAATTTTCCTTAAATTTATAGCAAATACAGGTTAACAATTTACTTGTGATGGTCTCATTTTTTTCCTTTGTGAAATATCTACATCTGTTAATTGCTGGGGTATCTTTGGCTCTAAGAAGCCTGGGACTACATGGTTCTATTGAACAGTTGAAGAAGGAAGTTTTGAGGAAGTAGCTTTAGAAGATTATTAAATAAATATAATTGAAATAAATTCATACTTATGAATGACAACTCTATAGCTATGCTGTCATTTTCTGTCAAGGCAAGACTATGTCTAAATCCAAATATTTGCTTCTTTACAGTTTATAATTTGTATGTATCTGGGATTAAAAGTATTTGAAACAGCTTACAACAAATTACAATAAGACAACAATAAAGCCAGAGGAAAAAGCTAAGAATCATTAATAAATGGGGCAGAAAAAGAAGATAAAGGATAATGGGGTTGGGGAAATGCTCTTTTTATTTTTTCCAGGAAACTGGAAGAATTGGTTTATAAAAACTGCACTGTTGAGTAGACATTAAGATTCCCGAACTTTGGGCAAAGGAGAAGGGGGAGGGGAGGGGGCATGGGGGCAGGAAAGATGGTGAAATGAGATGGGCATCATTATCCTAGGAACATGTATGACTTCATATATGGTGTGACACTTCATCATGTATAACCAGAGACATGAAAATTTGTGCTGCATTTGTGTACAATGAATCAAAATGCATTCTGCTGTCATATATACCTAATTAGAATAAATAAATAAATAAATAAATTTTTAAAAAAGATTCCTGTGTTTCTAAAAAGATGAAAATAAGGTTTTCTCCTTAATGTTTCTTACCTAAGACTGAAAGCACTAATCACTAATAAAGAGAAGCAAACTAAATGAAATATTAGTCTATGAGTAGACTGGAATTTATCCATTTAAACATTTTTTCCAGTAGCTACTATGAGTGCTCTAATTTTTTTTTAAATTAACTTCACTCGTGATTCTGAAGTATCACTGTATTTACATATTCCATCTTTACCCTTCTATCATCTTGTTATCCTCTATGTTTTAACTCATTTTAGAAAATTCTGGTAGGATTTGATAAGAAACTATAGACTGTGGTGCTCAGGGTAGAAAGGATCCCAAATAATACCTCTATAAATTCATATTAAGTTATATATTTTTGATGCCTTGAGTACCCTCTGACCTAGTTACAATCAAACTGAAAGCTTCAATTTTAGACTAAGTTTCCTTTCTATTCCTGTTGTCATTGTCCTGGGCCAGGCTGTAGCCTCACCTAGACTGCTACAAGCATCTCTGTTTTAATGGGTCTCCTTGCCCCTTCCTAATTCTGGGTTCATGTAATTTTGGCTATAGCCTTCTTTGTAAAGTGGTTGTATCTTTATACCACTAACACTCTTCCTTGGCCTTCCACTGTTAACCATAGTCCTTCTACCACTTAATCCTCCATGATTATCTCCCAAACTACCACACTTGGTGTGGTCTGTAGCCAAATTAAATTACCTGTTAGTGTTCAAATGCAGCTTGAGTTTTTCCATCACCTTACCATTCTATTGCATCTTACAAGACAAATAAATGAAGAAAATAAATATCCAGGGATAATTTCTATGTATAAGTCACAATTCTTTTTGATTATAGTATAATATACATTTGCGCTCAAATCTAACCAGTTACTACATTAAGAATCTAAGTTAAAGAGGCATCTTTATATGTAATCCAAAGTCTAGCACTATCACCTCATATTTACTGTATATAAATTTTTTTCTTTAGCTGCTGAGAAAGGATTTTCTTTCAGTTGCCAAGGCACACAAGGCCAGCTGGCAGGAGCAGTCCATGAAAAAAAAAAAAAAAACAAAAAAACATGCCACATTGAGTTCCCATGCAACAGAAACAAATGAAACCTAATTTGCTGATCTGTCTTGTTTATTTTGGTTCATTCGACAATGTAATATAACAGAAACAACACTGAACTGGGTATTAGAAGACCCAAAATTTCGTCCTATTTCTGCCATTGACCAACCATATAACTTTCAGAATATCATGCAAATTTCTCATCTTTGCTTTTTTTTTTTCACTTACAAAATGAAAATCTTCCTTGCTTTACTCAAAGAGTCCATACACATAGCAATTATTATTCTTTTATTTGCCATTCCCTAAAATGTAGTCTTTTTCTATATCTATGTGCTTTACAATTCTATCCTGTGGTGAAGCCTTTGCAGATGCCATAAGTCCATGTTAATCTCACTGAGGGTCCTAGAAGAGGATTCCTATAAATAATCACAGATAATTTTACAAATATTTGTAAAATATCACAAATGATATTATTCAAATATATTTTAAGGGGTTGATTAGATGATCTCTGAAACCCTTGCTAGTTTAAGAGTAGTAAATTTCTATATTCAAATTTATACTTGAAATTCAACCATTTTGTATATAAAGAAAACTTCAGATATGTGTACATCATCTCTATTCTCATATCTTGGAAATTTTTGGACATGCCAATTTCCCTGTCTCCCAATTTTAACCCTTACAAAGTCTTAGTATACCTGTTATCTTCTTATATATGTAACAACTTGCCTGACATCTCACATCTCTTGTAGTAATTTGTACTAGTTTTTTGTTTTTTACATCAGAATATAGATTTAAGTTTTAAGAAACATAAGAATTTACAGGCTGCGGTTGTGGCTCAGCGGTAGAGCGCTCACCTAGCACATGTGGGGCGTTGGGTTCGATCCTCAGCACCACAAAAAAAATAAAATAAAGGTATTGTGTCCAACTTCAATGAAAACAAAATATTTTTTTTAAATGAATTTAAAACAAATTACTGAAACATATTTTATGTTTTTCTTATATTGCTAGTTGTAATATTACAGATTCTGAAAAGAAATTTTTAATTAATATCATCTTGGGAAAGGCAAATATTCTTTAAAACGTCTACTTTGTTAAAATATAAAAGTATATGATAGCACACAGAAAAATTGCTTGCTCCAAAAACTAGATGTGTCATCACAATCTAAAAGGTGGACCTTAAAATAAAGATGGTGAGTACATGCAAACTTACTAACCCTTTGCCACCTCACTCTCTAGTCAGAGTAGAGACTGATAAATTGATACCAGGAAACAGAAATCCTTGATATCCTGGGGCTTTTTTAAATTATTTTTTTCAGTTGTAGATGGACACGATATCTTTAATTTATGTATGTATGTATGTATGTATGTATGTATGTATTTATTTATTTATTTATTTATATGTGGTGCTGAGTATCAAACCCAGTGCACACACATTCAAGGCAAGTGCTCTACCACTGAGCTACAAGCCCAGCCCTCCTTGATATCCTGTTTTAAAGAGTAACCTGGCTGAAATTCAACCTAGCTGACACTGCCATGCCTTTCCCTACTGTTTGGATTTTTAATATAATCGGAGTTATAGTGAAGAAGCTACAGGTCCTCCTACACTTTGAGTTTTTAGAGGCACTCTCACCTGAGCTATTCTGCAGATCTAGGTAAATCAAAGACGATGCTTCTGAATACACACACACACACAAACACAACAACAACTTTGGGGATAACCAAGCTGAGGTAATTTCAAAGTCTAGTACATAAATGATACAAGATAATCTGCCATATTCAAATGACACTCAGGAAAGAAAGAAAAACCCTCTCTAGTCTACTTTTCCTTAATACAAAATACAACACTTGAACTTTTAGATAAATTAAAACTCTATATTCTGAAGAGAGATTTATAAACTCTAGAGAGTAATATTAAATGATTCAGATAGTGGCACCATGCAAGAACAAAGTCACTAGAACACTTTACACAGATTAAATGGAAAGAATTCAGCACTTACCTGGCATAAACCACTGATGCACATATCCAGTGATTCGGTATAGCAACGAGTTCCATCTAACACCTTTGGTGCTAGTTCAACAACCAGGGTTGTTCCCTTGGCTTGACACTTTAGTGAACAGGGGTTGTCGGGGTCATTAGACACAGGAAGCCATTCATAAAACTGGCCATGGTGCTTGACATCATTATGAGCAGAGCATTGCTGAGCTCGGAAATCTCCTGCTTCGGGTGGGCAGTCCTGGAGAAGAAGAGGAGGGGGAGCAGAAAGTTAAGGGGATGGCCCCAAACAGAAAAGTGGAACAGCTATGTGGTTGGTGGAAGTTGTAGTAAACAAAGCAAAAGCTTTGTCATTACACATGGACTCTCCCATACCAGGTTATGAGATTATTTGACCTTCAAAGTAAAGAAAGCTGAGAAAACAATCTCCTGGAAATATATTTTCTAATTAAAGTTAAATGAGAAAGTAACCAGTTTGAGATAGATATTTTAATTGATATTTGTTGGGAAAGTAACCATCTTGAAATGCATTTTCTGACAAATGTCCACTGGTCCATGAATACTTCCACATCGATAGCATTTCCATTTCCTTGTAACTTAAGTGGAACCTGGAATTAGCTGAAAGCATCTTTGTCTCCTTTGGTCCAGCCACTGGAAGTTAGGATGATTCTTTATTGTAATAACTAGCAGAAAAAATTTACAATAATTTCATTCAAAAAACTTCGGGGTATCGCTTGGCATTTTTTTCTAGAATTAAAGGTACATAGTATCTAGAATGAATCTCGGGGAACTCAAGAGAGATGGTAATTTATATATGAATTGCTTTAGGTTCAGGCAGTATGGCGGAGGGGAAAGGGCATGGACTTCCTCTTCAGATGGGTGTGTGGCAGCAATACTGTGGGTCTCCCTGACTTGTAGTATTATTAACTCATGCTCAGAGCAGAGTTAATAATACTACTCAGCTCTTAGGGTCACTGTGAGAGGCTCATGAGTTATTCTGGCCAATTATTGGCTTGTAGAAGCTACCTAGTAAATGGTAGTAAGTCCTGTGATTATTTAATGAAGCCACAGGTAAGAGTTGAAGAAATAAGAGATTCTCTCAATTTAAATTTTAAAAGATATTGGCAGGGATCAATGGAAAATAAGACTCTCCTAAATGTATATTTCAGAGAGGGTAATTGAAAATGTGAAACCATGAGTAACAATGGCTATTATTTAATAAATGATAAAACACAGTGAAAGCAGATAAGATTTTGCCTTAAAAAGGCAAATACCGTATCTTGTTTGGAAAGGTTTTTTGACAAGTATATTTCATTCTATATGTCTACAGAATTATTCTTACTGTAAAGATTTTAGACTATCCAGGCACAGAGAGGCTTCTTGGATAACTTGTTCTAAAGGATTTGTATGTGGCCTTTCATAGTTCTCAGTTACTACATTATAATTTTGAGAGTTCTTAAGAAAACTCTCTTTTTCTGCAAATCTCTTTACATTCCTATAAGCATTCAGAGAACAACATTGTTCTTTATTTTATAAAATGGAATTTTTGACTCTTCCCAAACTTATCAAGTAACACATAAGGCTCTGATATTCTGGGGAGCATAAATTCTTTCTAGGCAAGAATAGATAGGAGATAAACAATTAGATACTTATTTAGGATGAACATGAAATCACTCAAAATACAATATAAAACCTCAAAGACATTTTACTGTTAGTGTTGTATGTGTTCTCAGGGTGAATAAAACATAGTTGTAAAGGGAAAGAACAATTTAAACAACAAAGGTGTAGATACATAGGTACTCAATAGGCTTAAGTGATTTTAAATACTAGCTGAAAAAAATTTCGTTTGAATTCACTGCTCATTAATTTCTTAAATGATAGAGTAAATTTTCTAAAGACCCAGAAACAAATAAATAGTACATGTGCACATATTATACAAGATATTTACTTGTTTATTGTGAAAAAAATCAAACAAAAAACAAAACCCTGAAAACTAAGCTATGAATCACAAAACAGGGAAATTGTACCAAACCATGACAGACAGCACAAACTAAATTTAGTGTTTGATACCAGCTCATTTCAGACCATATGTCCCGACATAAGAGCACAAACTTGAATTAACATGAACTCTTTGTGGATTCACGTTCCAAAAAAAAAACAAAAAACAAAAAACTACAACTTGCTTATTTAAATTCTACCAATATCTTCTTAGACTTCACTTATTAACTTCTCCCTAAAACAACCCTATTACTAGCCACAGCTCCAAACTATGAACATATACTTCCCTAAATCCCCCCATTTGAGACAATAACAGAGTCTAAAATGCTGTCTACCTTTTGCTGAGCAGGATTAATAAACCTAGCTTTACCCAGTTCACAAGTTTCCCTGGTTGGTCAGTGCATGGGAACTTCCACAGTTAAACTGATAATTTACTTAATAATGTTTAAGTCAAGTGTTTTCTTGTGCATAATACCTGTCATCCTAGGAGTCACTCAATTACCGTGTAGAAGAAATACTGAAGTGCACTCATAAACATTGAAGAAATTGTTTAAAATAGTCCCAAATACCTTTCATAATTACCTTTGCTTCTTTTTTTTTTCTATAAATACAAGTGAACCAGCTAGAAAGGAATTCCAGGGTCAGGCTGAATCACTTTTGCCTTAAAGTAAGAAGGGTAAGATATAATTAAGTGATGTCTTAGTATGAGCTATAGGTAATTTTCTGCATTTTTACAATTCCAAGAAAAGAGTATGAACTGCATTTTTAAATTGATGTTACTACCTTATCTTATTACACACAAAATCTTAGACTCCTTTGAGTTCCTCCTATTCAACAAAAGGTGTCGATTCATCCTACTTTCCTAAAACAAGACTCAAAGGCAGTCAAAGGTAAAACTATTAAAAAAAAAGTGAAAATATTAAGATCTTTGTTCTCTTTTCTGTGACCAAATCAGTAAATATATTTAGACATATAGAGAATCAGCTTGCAGAGAGATGTTCCTATTTGCAATTCACTTGCTCATAATGTTAAGAAGAATACCTATTATAGGTTTTATGATTCTTCATAAATAGAAAATCTCTCTGAGAATAATAATGCTCAAGAACACTATTACTCACTTTTATCACTACTGTGTCTCCTTCTGCTCATATATTTATAGGGGTGGGGATATATAGTTTGCTAAATTTTAAATGCACTTGAAACCTGGAGTTCAGAGTTAAAACCTGAACCTGAACCTTTATAATGAGTTTATTTATACTCTGCAAAATGCAACTTCCTGTTTTAAGGAAAGGACTTAAGAGGACTTATAAAACAGGTTCAGAAAGCTTCTTGGACATCAAATAGCTCTTACAAAATAACATTTTGATGATTTAAGTGTAAATGAATCAGAAACATATGAATTAAATTTCCCTTGAAATACACGTGCTCAAAAATTAAGGGAAGGAGGATTTGGCAAAATATTCTTTGTTTGAGTCCAAAACTTCTCAAGTATAGTTCAAGACATTTATTGAATCCCTAATAATCTGAGATCTTCCGGGTGTAGGAATGGAAACACAAGAAAAGTCATTGTAGCCTCTAGTCCCACAAATATCCTAATAAATATAACAACAACAACAGAATATCTCCTATTTGTACAGAAACTTACCTTCTAAAATGTTTTTAGATTTTAATTATAATTTGGTCCATTAAACCAGCATACTCCCTGAGCCTTCTAAAAGTCAGTCTACAAACAAATGTCCTAATTACTTTGAACTTTGCTTTATATCACAAGTCACAGTTCTGCCCAAGAAGAATGGCTGTCCTTCACGTATAATAAATACAGAAGATACCGAATATATACAATGTGGGATTTCTGCTCTTGTCTAATGTTAATAGTGGGAATACTAAGCTTTCAATGGAGATAGTTAAAACAAATGAATTATGATTTATATATTTTTATATGGAACTTGGTACACAGGCAGTAATGATGAAGACAAAGCTACTGAAAACACGTGCTACCCCTCACCATGAACCAGGCAAAAACAGGGTGCAGAAAAGGGGAACTGGACTGAAGACCCTAGGTTCCAGCCTCTCACACATCTCCAGAAAGATTTGAAGGAGAAATGGAGAAAGAGAAAGCAATTGAAGGCATTTCCCCTCTGGACTTGTACACTGTCACACGCCTGTGGCTTGACAGCTCTCATCAGGTCACTAGGCTAGAACTTCCTTACTCGGTGGAGATATATTTTCTTTGTAATAGATGATCCCATGAATTACTATTCAGCCATTTAATATAACAGCTTTTCTCTCCAATTTTTAAGCACTTAATCCTAACTGTGTCTGAGCTTTCTTCTTTAAAAACACAAAAATAAAGCCTGACCTTTTATTTGCTCCCATTATAATTCATACAGTCAGTGGAGTTCTGCCATATATGAATCTAATTCAAAACATTTTCTGGTTAATCAGCTAGCCAGTGGGAAAGATAAGATGGATCCCAGATGTCCCCTGATGATGATAGGTAGATCAGATTACACCGTGGGACAAAGGAGGGTCAGGCTTCTCAGAACTTACTCACTGGGCAAGATGTAAAAGATTATGTCTCAGCAGCTAAGGTGGCAGCCTATGAAAGGCCTTTAAATGGCTTTGAAAAAATATACAGAATATATATTCAGGGTCAGGAGAAACATTATTTGAAAAAATTTTTCATTGTTTTTTAAAGAAGATATTTTTCTTTCAGAGGGACATCCTTCTGCTTTATCTCTGTCCTTAAATATTCTGCAATTGAAGTATTCTATTAATTTTTCTGCTTCATTTAACTTCTTTTGAGTGTCATTGTATAAGTATCATATTCTGATTCTATACTTTTATTTATAGTTAATATTAATACCTGATAGGATCAATAAAACACTGAAAACCATTTTATTCAGATGACCAAACATATGCAATGTAGTCACTAGAAAAAAAAAAAAAAACTATCTTATCACTGCATTTCCCCGATAGAATCATTCTACTAAACCCAATACCACTGTATATACTGTACTAATCACTCACCCTCCAAAAAAGTTACTGTGAAAGAAAACAAATTAGAATTGCTTAATAAAGTCTATACACTATCCTGCAATAATGCTAGATCACTACTTTGTGATAAAACATACAGATATTTATCAGCTGTTTCATGACACTAGAAAAATCTCATTGGTTCTTAAATATTAACCTTCAAATATTAGGAATCCTCAAATTAATGAAACAGGAAAAGTTTACCAT